AGAGAAAAAAGGAAGAAGAAGAAGAAGAAAAAAATGTGATTGTTTCAATTTCAGCATAATGCATGAGAAATGAGTTACTCTTTTATGTATGTATAACTGTATATATAGCCTACACGTATACAGTATGTCACTATCATTAAGAATAGTTGCGCGACGTGCGCGAACAAGCACTTCATAAACTTCAGAATAATTTTTCTTTATTTTGAAAGGTATTATTATAGCCCAGACGTAAAGTGCGCCAGCGCGCGAGCGCTTAAAAAGTGCAATACGCGTATGCTCGTTCCCTCCCTTTGAGAGCATCCCCCCCCCCCTCCCACCCTATCTCAGGACTGCCAACATTTCTGAATCCCCCTTTCGCCGGCTTTTCGCTGGCTTTTCCTGCCTTGGAGAACCAACCCCCCCCCCCCCCCCGAATCCGAAACACTGCTAAATGTACCACATCCCCCCCCAAAAAAAAAAAAAAAAAAAAAAAAAAAATCAGGTGAGCTCTAGTCGATCGAGGGGGACTGGGGGCCGATGTTTTTACTTTTTAAAATGAAATAATCCTGAATGAGCTTTCAAAGCTAGCAGGAAAAAAAAAACCCACCCTCTTTTTAAAGAAACTAAGAGTCGAGAACGGTACAACGAATCGTCTTCTTTCTCTAATGATTTAATGAAACGTAAAAGCTTCCGCGCTTCGCGCGGGAGGAGGGAAGGGAAAAACTGAATTCAGATGAGGATTAAAAGTCAAGAACGGTACAACGAATCGTCTCCTTTCTATAATGATTTAATGAAACGTAAAAGCTTCCGCGCTTCGCGCGGGAGGGGGGGGGGGGGGACTGAATTCAGACGAGGATTATTTTCGAGAACGGTACAACGAGTCGTCTTCTTTCTCTAATAATTTAATGAAACTTCAAAGCTAGCAGGAAAAAAAAAATACCCACCCCCTTTTTAAAGAAACTAAGAGTCGAGAACAGTACAACGAATCGTCTTCTTTCTCTAATGATTTACTGAAACGTAAAAGCTTCCGCGCTTCGCGCGGGTGGGGGAAGGGACAAACTGAATTCAGATGAGTATTAAAAGTCGAGAACGGTACAACGAATCGTCTTCTTTCTCTAATGATTTAATGAAACGTAAAAGCTTCCGCGCTTCGCGCGGGAGGGGGGAAGGGAAAAAACTGAATTCAGATAAGGATTAAAAGTCGAGAACGGTACAACGAATCGTCTTCTTTCTCTAATGATTTAATGAAACGTAAAAGCTTCCGCCCTTCGCGCGGGAGGGGGGGGGGACTGAATTCAGACGAGGATTATTTTCGAGAACGGTACAACGAGTCGTCTTCTTTCTCTAATAATTTAACGAAACTTCAAAGCTTCGGCGCTTTGCGGAGGAGGGAGGGGGAAATCGCCCCTCCCTGCCCCCCCCCCCCCATTACGCCAATGCTGGTCACCATTACGTACCAATATTTGGCTCGCATAATTTCAAATTTGGCCCCCCCCCCCTAAGAAATCCTGGATCTGTGTATGTATGCATGTATAAATTTATGTACATGTGTGCGTGTGTGTGTGTGTGTGTTGTGTGTTGTGTGTTTGTGCGTGCGCGAACGTGCGCGTTTGCTTAAATTAGTGTGGGCGTGTGCTCGTGCTAGTATGTGATGGCTATCGCCGATCATCCCCCCCACTCCTCGGTACGGATTTACGCCCCTGCTCTATCGACTCTATCGACTATCACTACATCGACCGGATATCCACTACTTCTAAATGATACCTCGAGTGTATAGGGATTAATTCCACCTGCGGTCCCATCGCTCACATAACCTTACTTCAGGCATCAATGGTTTGTTACTATGGTAACGCGTCGAATATCAGTTAATGTGTACATTAAAGGGGCTACTGCCCAATAAGTTGATAATTTATCGTCCTAAAACTAGATTTTTATAAGGCGGCAATCAAGACGGGAGTTGATGCTACCTTGTTTGGCGTTCAACAATAAGGGAATAGAGCAACATCGATCTGGCGCTGCTCAGTGGCTGCCGGGCTCACGATTGGGCAAAACGAATTTCCATTTTCGGTTTAATAAAATTTGGAGTGAACTGTAAAAGAATATTATTATTATTATTATTATTATCATTATTATTATTATTATTATTATTATTATTTCATAATTATACTTTCTTGATAATATACGGATTTCGCTCATTTCGAAGCTACCGTACAGAAATTAATAGGTATGTAGTATGGAAATAATTCCCTAATGACATAATATTGAGATTGGTGACATAATTTATCCTCACTGGCACTAACAGGGTGATGAATAATATATAAGGTACGGTATGTGGGAAATAGTTATGGCGCCCCCGAAGAGCTACCTGGTTAAATTTAATGTGTTCTAATTACAATAAGTGGGTCATAGAAATTCGCCCTAATGTGATCATTTAACGCACATAATTATTATGCAGGGGGTATATCACGCTGCTTTATGATTATTGCAGTTTATCAAGAATATACCTTACCTTAGGTTCCAGCAAACACAATCTCGTAAATAATTTTATTTTCGTTTATAATTATTATAGGCCTATTCTAAACTATCACAGAAAATGTCTTGTAGGTTCAAGAAATATTTGGAAAACCTTCAAATAAGTATATATTTTCATATAAAAAGCAAGGCTTACATACATCCTCACGAGACACTTTCTTCATAGACACACTCCCACACGCACCCACACACCAACCCACAGTAAACACAGACTCGCGCGCCCAGGTATTAAACATGCAGTCTATATAGCAGGGAGATGTCAGTTCATCTCCCTGATAATAGTAAGCAAAGCGTGAAAATGACCTCCCCGGCATGCATCCAAAGCTAGATCATGCATTTAAAGACGGAGGAAAGAGAAAGATGAAGAAAAGATGCGTGCCAGACCGGAGGATGTTTCTCATCTGAATCTCTTTTATTCATCCTCCTCCTTCGTCTGACTTCCTGTTTCCATGAGCGTTGTGAGATGAGCAGGTGCATTCATCAGATCTTTCTTAAAGGGAAACATCAAAGTGCCCTTTACAAATGTGTGTAGGTTGCGATATTTCATTTTCCACACGCCTGTTAAAAAATGATACAAAGAAGAAAAAACAAACGAAACAAATACAGATAATACTGAACATAGATAACATTTAGGATTATATCCGCCCACTCATCAGATCAATACTTGCCCCAAGCAGAAGCAAGAAAACTAAAGGATTTTAATAAATGGAAATGGTATACAAAAACCCATGCTCCTCCCCTTTCGGTCGCTTGGGTCTCTCACTATTTACCCACCTAGCAAGGCCAGTCCCCCAAGTGCCTCCCCCTCCCCACTCCCCCTCCCCCCATTGTACTCATTTTGCTTGGCCGAAGCTATACACCCCTTTCAGATTGGGAATGTAACTCGTTCCGTTTGTTTGCAACACGGCAGTGCAAGACATATACTTACTTCTCTCTACCGGCCTAACGTGTGAATAATATGACTGCAAGTAATACAAGATGTAAACAGAAAATAGGTCAATATTACTGACCTCATGCAAGGATACTCTAGCTACACTGATCTTGTCAAATCAGTGAGAGTGATAGAGGTTCTCTCGTTACAAACAAGTCACTTATATCATTTAAAAATGGATGATGTATATTCGTGTCTGGAAAAAAAGATGATAAACTTACCATTGTGATAACCAAGACTTTGAAACGGACAAATTCTGGCATTAAGATTTCTTGTTATGTATAATTATATGAATATAATCATCAGGGTGCAACATGACCTTTCACCTAGCTTAGATATTTGCATCATGTCTATTGACGTCACTAGTTTCTCGGGTGATTTATAAATTTAAAAGATTTATTATCAAATTTGCAATTGGGCAATGTCTCCAAAGGCTGCCTATTTAAAGAGAGGTTCGCCAGCTACTTCTCCTCTCTCATCTTATTCTTTCTTCAAACAGAGACGATGAACCTCAAAGCCAAACATGACTGAAACTCGATATTTAACTTTATTGTTTCCAGTTTACTTTCAAATTTCAAATTACCTAATAATTATTTATCAAAATAATTTTGTCAACCCTCATTTTGATTTGTGTCGTGTTGTTTCTTTAGTGCTCAATTTGACTTCATTTTGTAACTCTACTTCGACAACAGTACTGTGCGATAATACAATACATTCAGGATCCTTGTTTTAATTTGATCATTGTGAACCTGTAAAATAAAGCCATCAAAATAATGTTGTACTAATTCTTGTGCTACAATGACGTCACCTACCCCTAGGCACGATGATAAACAATATAAATTGATCTTTGAATACATTTTTTTAAAATCGAATATCCAATATTCACGAGTCAATTATGATGCATTTACCACACTATTTTTTTTTTTTATTTTTTTTATTTCATACACCAAATTAGCTGTGTCGATATATTTAGTTTATTAAAAATCGAAAAAGTGAAACAAAATTGGAATCGTAAATGGTTATTTATAATGTTTTTTATGAATCCGGATAATAGCTGCAAATAATTATTAAAATAAACCATTACTACTAATAGGCCCTACTCCTCCTAAATACTATCACATATTGCATCGCATTGCACTATCTCTCTCTCTCTCTCTCTCTCTCTCTCTCTCTCTCTCTCTCTCTCTCTCTCTCACATACACATACTCTCGAATTCATAAAGCTATATAGGAAAAGCCTAAAATTCAATTTTTTTTTTTTTTTTTTTTAGTGCATTCTATCATGTCTGTAAAGCACAGTGAATTCTACATTTTTAGCAATGCATCTCGTCATAATTTCATTCCTCTGAACATTTAGCACCATAACGCATTCAGACAATGTATATAACACAATTCTGATAGATTTATTGTAGGAAATGGTGACCACTCCTTTAAAAACATAATATCGGGTATTATTGGTCATACTCCATTCCGCGCTCTCTTAACGTCTCAGACTGTGTGTAACCGATACTCCACTCTGGGAGCGTACACACAATCATACAATAAGGGCGGGAAGAGGCGTAGGAAATATTAGACTTCAATTCCCGCGATTTGATTCCTTACTGCAAATACAGAAATTGAAGAGCCATTAATGCTAGGACTCGAGCGCTGACTGTGCAGTCAGATAAAGTGCATAGTAGGACTGCATGAGGACAAGCACTACACTGGTAACTGTTTGATTCATTCTCACTTCAGGGGAGCACACTGCTCTTGCGAACTAACACAATTTCAAGAGTGATCGAATTTGATTATTTCACTTTCCAGGAAGCGAGGTAAGTCGTCTGCCTGAACTATCGGTTTATCCGTGGCGCCTCCTTACGTTGTACAGCATACAGAACAGATGTTGATTCTCGCCAAATCGCTCAATATCACGCCACCTTTCTATTGTGTCACTGTGCTTTTCTCCATCATTATCATTCAAGTCCTCATCTCTCTTTTATGTGAGGTTTTTTCGTATGATTGTAAAGGAATGTTTTCTGAAATGACATCGTGTTTGTCTTTATTCGCCACTGAAAGATGTCTACTTTTGCGTTTTCTTGTATACACAATCATATCTCGTTTTGTGACTGATAAGATTCCTCCTCGTTAAGGAAAACAAAAAGTAATTTATTGATTCCTGTGAAATTTCTGATATTAATCGGTAATTTTTGTCCTTACATGCATCTAATACTGAGTGTAATGAGGATATTTATGAATGTGTCAAGTAAAAATGTACGTGTCTCTGTATATTAATTTGAAAGTGGGATATACCGTCCATGATTTGGTCCTATATGTACATCACATCGATTCTAATTATTATGTGGATGGCATAATCTTATTCCAAAATTAAATTGGACTTTGACTGAAATTCTATATTATTGACACATACAGACCTAATAATGAATTGGTAGTTAAAAAGCAAGTGGGCAACTATTATATATGTATGTCATAAAGCAATCTGATAAAGTGAATATGATTGCATGTTTCATCATATTCCACTCATACAGAGCACGCAACACCCCCCTCCTCCCCCCTCCCCCGCCGAAATAAGAGAGACGGTAAAATGTTTCCTGTGCAATATGCTTATTTCATTTGTGTACGCCATTTTGAATTTGATATTCAGGACACAATTTATATCTCGCATTATTTCGCGAAAGGTTCATATTTGAATGCAAAGTGAATGTTAAGGTATATATGATGATATTGAGCTGAACTAAAAAGGCTGGGGTTGCAATGTAGGCATGGGTTTTTATAGTCTCGTCAAGGACTTTCCGATGTGATCCATGATAGCATAAGCTATTTGTGAAATTGCATTGCCGTGCAGGCGAGGTGATTTACCGAGATTGCCTCAGGGGCTTTTCATTCTTTTCATTTTGAATGGTTTTAAATCTTTGAGAAATTTGCTGTCAGTCGAGTTCACACTGAGAGGGGAAATATCAGTTGTATGACGAATGATCCATTGATTTTGTTTGTCGGAGAGCAAAATCTCAGAAGGTGCAGGGGTTTTCTTTTATTTAATTTAAAAATACAGCATTGCAAGTTTATTTGACAAATTTATGTCAGCTGATAATACACCATTATACATTATATCCTGTTCATATTAAAGCTTGAAGCAGAAAATTTACATTATGATTTCCATATGCATGGATGACAAGGGTCTGATCATCAATGCAATCTGTTTCTTAATCAAACATGAATACTCATTTAAAAGAATGTGTGAGCTTTTTTTTTTAATCATTCCTTATAATGTTATAGAGTGGAAGAGTATCAAAGAAAAAGTGTCCCCTGAAAAGGATTGGTCTTGAAATGCCCCGATAAGTGCCTTCTCCCTTTGGGGCAATACTCAAAATATAGTATGGATAATTTATCATTATAGGTCCTCCGATAAGAAAAGATCCGACCGAACCATATTATATTAAAAGATCGATATTTTAATCATTTTATGTGTTGAAACAGTAACATTACTGATGCAGCCTATTTGAAGTGACCATAGTAAAGTGGTTACAACTTTCAAAAATTCATAACCCTCTTATGTTCAATTCAATTCAGTTCAGTTTGTTTTAATATCATATCGCAGCCTCAGCTGAATTACATGAACATTTACAATCAAATTGAAAATAACATCACATTTCATTTTAAAAACAACATATTTCATAATACAATGCATTTGTATTAAAAAACAGGTATATACAACAACAAAAATGTCCAAATTAATTCAAACTTCCACCAGTTTGCTTCTATGTTTTTGTTAATTATTTGTTTAGAGTAGTTGTCTGTTAAGACTTCCACTAATTTGAAATATAATCTTTTGCAATTTCTCGTCTTGTCTTTAGATGTTTTAAATGGTTTTGAATAATCGGTAAACTCCTAATGTAATTTCAACAACCCATTTTTCTGAAAATCTCATTTGAACTTTTTGGTTTTCTGTTTATATATTTTGTATTTTATTTGTTATTTGTGCCAAACTATGTTCATTGTAATTAATGTCTATTTTGTAATTTTGCATGTTTTGATCTGTAAACTGTATCGCAATTCAGCCCAACGGCTGCGAAGATATTTGTTAATAAACCTTGAATTGAATTGAATTGTTAAGATTACAATTCACTTTAATGCTAAACCAAATGCACTTTGGAAGATAATATTTTTACTGAATACATCATATCAGAGATGATAATACTTTGCTTTCATTCTATTCCTGTGCAGATTTCTTCTGAAGACAAACAGTGCGAGAGACCAAGATGAGTCTGAGTAAGGTGTTAGAGACCATCAGTGACAACCATCTTGAGTTTATTCGTATGGAGGTCTCAGATGTCTACGGCATCGCTCGATCACGGACTGTACCGGCCCGCCATTTTGAAAACACATGCAAGTCGGGTCTCTTCATGCCGTTGGCCACCTATTGTTTCAATGGCGCAGGAGCTGACGCAGATAAATATGACTGCGGGTTGTGTTGGGAGGTAGGATATGGGGATGTGAAGCTGCATCCAGACCTAGAGACATTTCAAGTCATACCATGGTGCGAGAATACCGGGCGAGTGCTGATGAATGCAGAACTCGGCGGTAAACCCATGATGGTGTGCCCTCGAGGAATCGCAAACATTCAGCTGCAGAAGTTGGAGGAGATGGGTTATTCTCTTTTTTCGGCTCACGAATATGAGTTCTATGTGGTGGATGCCAAGACACGTGAGCCACTACTGAAGGATGGGAATCTGCTGTCAACCCTGCGGACATACACCGACACCAAGCTACTTCATCAGCTGATGAGAGACCTGCCAAAGGTTGGAGTCGACATTGAAAGTGCAGAAGGTGAGGGTGGTGTCGGCCAGATGGAAATCACATACCGTCCAGCGTTCGGACTACGCTCCGCCGATAACGCACACACATACAAGTTATCGGTGAAAGAGATTGCTAGACAGCACGGCTACATGGCGTCCTTCATGTCAAAACCGTGGCCAAACAGGAGTGGTAGTTCCTCTCACTTCTGTCACTCTCTCTGGGATGCCAAGACCAAAGAACCTCTCGTTTATGGCAAGGACAGTCCATGTGGGATGTCTGAAGTCGCTCAGCACTGGGTTGCGGGACTACTAGAACACGCACCAGCTCTTACAATCCTTGCCTCACCAACTGTCAACTGTCTGAGCCGTCTTAAACCAAACACGTTCGCTCCTGTCAACTCGACCTGGGGCATTGACAACCGTACAACCGCCATGCGAATCAAAATAAATGGACAGAAAGGCACCTTCATTGAGAATCGTATCGGTGCCAGCGGGAGCAACCCTTATCTCCTCTTAGCTGGTACCGTAATAGCGGGAATGGACGGGATCAAAAGAAAGCTTCCTCTTCCTCAGGAATCCACAGGAAACTCGTACGAGGCGAATGGTGTTCATCCCTGCGGTCAAGATCTCCCGAATACTATGGAGAGAGCAGTAGAGGCGCTCAAGGCAGACAAGGTGATGGTCGAAGCTCTAGGACCTGACTTCATCAAGTGTTTCTTGGCAATGAAGAAAAAAGAACTTGTAGAATCACGACAAGCTGTTACTAACAAGGATGGTGAATGGGAAAGGAAGATGTTCTTTGAATATCTGTGAAAGTGCACCATTTAACTAGAACTTTCACAAGCATCGGGTCAGATAATGTAGGTTTAGGACACTTATTTCAAATCAAAGTTGAATGTGCAGATCTTTATTCTCTCAAGCGATACAATGATCATAGTCACACAGTGCTATTGAACGTTAGGGGTATGGTAAGAATTATGTTTAAACCAGATGGTCCATCTACCTGATTTTAAACCAACTTGATAATCGGTTGTAATTTTTTCAGAACGTTTTACATCGTGTAGGACATTATGTCAAACTGTTTTTGTAATTTTCTATTCAAGACCTCGATTTTTGTTTGTTATTTTCCCAAGATTTCTACTGTATTACTTTGTGATCAAAGTGGGTCAATCTCTGGAACTTGAACTTACATCGTAGTTGTCTCTGCGTTAGTTGGTATGCTTTTTGTAGTCAAAGCTCTAAATATAGAAATGAAATTTATATAAATGGAACTAGGCGGATCAAGAAAAAGAGATATATTGTTATTATAATTATAGGCTGTCATTCCCAACATTATACATTCCATGATTAAGGCTTTGATGTCAAATGCACCATATTACCTCAAAGTTACGATATTTTAAAAATACAACTTTTGCCGATAATCACTAATTAAAAAAAAGTACCCGCGTGCAACCAGGGCTGTGTGCAACAAGTCGCCCCACCCCTCACTCCGCTTACATACCCACACACCCACACACGCACGTACACAGCAAACACGCACGCTCATTGTATGGACAGCAACACGTGATTTTAAAATGAAACCAGTGACCTGCATTAGTTGCGATTGTTTCAAATCAATCGCAACTTGAAATGAATCGCAAATGTGTACTTGAGAGATGGGATTTGCGCTAAACTTCAAGTTGCGTTTGATTTGATTCAGTCGGCTCTGGTAGAGCCAGATTGTGACAGACCATATTCTGGAAATTTATATGACATTCAACAGGGAAAATTCTGAGTTACCATCGATTTGTTTAATTTGTTTGTGTACGTATGGTGTAAGAGTACGAGGACATTTTATTAGATATATGTAATATATTCCAATACTATAAACTTTTGGATACTCTTACATAATTATATACATTATACAAGTAGTGTTTTAATTTATTTCATTCGATATATGATTTACGCAATTTGAAAGAAAGGTCGAATAGTAAGTTGCCGCGCTGATATTTCGCACAAATCTAAAAGAGAATTATGAAACAAATCAGGGTATCGCCATTCAGCTTAACATGTTTATCGTACAAAAATTAGATGTGTTTGCTTTTCTTGTTTTATGTCTTGTAACATTGAAGAACTATATTTCTACGTTGTAGTGGATCGGTCACATTCTGAAATGTGCACATTTATTTTATTGATTGCATTAATTACGTTATAAGTAGGCCTATTCTCACCATTCCCTGATATATTCGCAATTGATTCAGACAGTTCTTGATTTCCTGTGTGTTAAATTAGACAATAATAATCGTATGCCTAATGGAAACATGTTTTGATAGTTTGTGTTATATGTATTCTGAATTGCTCATATTCTACCTAGTCATATTTTCGTTCAATGAAAACCCGAGAATGTAAAAAGTATATTTCTGTAATTAAAGGGTTTACGTAATGATGTATTGACATTTCATGTGCCGTTTAAATTTGCTTACAACATTTATATAAAGATATATATTAAACGCATACATTGATATATTTTGTATGTTTATACTTGCGATGCTATATTAAATTGAGGTCAACAAAAATGTTCACTCGTTTAAATTTCTATTCATTTTCAATGTCGATATAAATTGCGTATAATCACCATTCGTGCACAAAGATGGAACAAAATAACAGTTTGCATGAAGCCTATTTCTTAAGCACGGAATGTACATTCTCTTGCAAATATCCACACATCTTAAAGGGGCCTATTATCTGCGGTAAATATTTTAACTTCAGGTAATAATGGGCGACTGTTAATAATCAATATACATCGTCCTCTCGGTTATCATTTGTTCATTTAATTCGTAGTTATGTTTAATTCTAACATAGCTGACCAGTTTAACAAAGCCCCTCCTCTCCCGCTCAAGCTTTCTCTCCCCCTCTCACTTTCTCTCACCCCTCTCTCTCTCTCTCTCTCTCTCTCTTTCTCTCTTTCTCTGCAGCTTCCCAAACTACCTCACTTTCGTCAGTACGTCTACAATGGGCGGTGGGGGCGTGAAATTCATTATGCGATGCTTATCCTTGTTTATATTTTGTTACATAGATACAAATGATTTAACTTTCCCTTTTCTTAAACAGAATGCAAAAATGTTCACGCTGATTCCAGAATAGTAGAAAAAGACAAGTCAACGTGTTGGACAGGATTAGGGGGGTCAGGGGGCCGCTTTTGTTTTTTGTTTAAAAAAGGTAAGATTTACGTTACTATCCTATATTTTTACCGTTTTTTTTGGGGGGGGGGCTAGGGGCCGGGCCGGTAGAATCGGCCCGTGGATCCGCGCCTACCTGGGATAGAACATAATGTTTAGTTCTATGTTTAATTATTCCATAATTTCTTATATTTGGGGGAAAAGAGCTGTAAACATAACCGTCACTTCGTGAAAACACGAAATTTAAGGACGCGCTGTGATTTTGATTTTGTTCTTTACATATTCCTTCCTTATATTTTAATTGATTTTAAAAATATGTATTATAATGTTTCTTCTTTTCTCTTGATAATATTTCACCAACGAATCGAGAGTTTTGGTAGACATCTTGGATGTAGTATATAGCAATACATCCTTGGCACATGACGTTTTGTGATAATCAGCCTCAGGATAATAAGAATTATAATGATACCACTACTACTAGGCCTATTACTTCATGTACTACTACACTATTAACTGCTATTGATGATTATGTTGATGACGCTGATGATAATAATAATATATTAATTATGATAATGATTATAATGATGATAATAATAATAGTAATCATCATCTTTATCATCATCATATATACAAATCTAATCCGATCCCCATACGGACCGGCACACTCTTTATATCATGTCACAGTATTGTAGGTGAATAAGATATTTATTTCATACGTGGGCATGTAACAAGGCCGGGTTAAAGAAGAAAGAAAAGCAGGTTTTCAAGGTATATACGTTCTGAAAGGAAACGTATATTTTTTTTTCTATTTATCCTCTTTCGAGGGACTTTATTTGTTCATATCATAAAATAACAGCTATTTACAACAGTGTTTAAATACAAAATTCATGCAATTGTAACATATCATACATAGTACAGAACATGAAACTAATGTGACATAATCACTAACTAAAATAATGAAAACATTTTTGTAACTTTTGTAACTTCGTTTGTATCGAATTTCTTTTGATTACATTTCATATTGAGATAGGTGCGAATTTCCACCTTTAATTCTTTTATCAAATATACAGCATGTTTCCTGTGCTTTTCACTTCCAAAACATTCTCTAATATAGTTCCTATAGATAATAAACTGAGCGAAGTTTAAAATAAGATTGACAAGATTCATTTCTCTTCTCTCTATTTCATAACCTATTAAAAGAATTTCTTCGTTCAAAAGGATTTTAAAATTAAACAAAGTATCAATTAATTTGGATACAATCTTCCAAAAAAGCGAAACCTTCTTGCAAGCCAGGAGAAGGTGGTTAGTTGTGTCTGGAATCTTACATATATCACATAGATTATTATTTTTAATCTTCCATTTACATAAATTGTCTTTACTGGGCAATATTCTATGAAGATATTTAAAATTAAACTGCTTAATTCTGTTGTCATTTATAAAGTAAAATTTATAATGGAGCAACGTTTTCCAGTTAAACTCATTGGGTAAATCAAAATAAGCGTTCCAAAAATAAATGCACGGCAGATTCTGTCTATTTTTTACTAACATCAAATTATAATAGTGTTTGGCTTTCATGACCGCTACATCAATGGAGTCACCTGTTACTATTTCTATTGTACTGGATTCCACTGCAGACGGTGGACTATTTACATATTGTAACCTATTACGTAATTTCTGCAACCAAAAATTCGGGAATGCACTTTTTAACTTTGCCAATTTGAAGGCGGAAAGTAATTCATTTTCTTGAAAATTAATACAAATAGAATCAACTTCTTTCCAGATACCGTTAACTAAGACTTGTTTCACTTTAAAAATATTGTTTCTCATCCAGTTTGGAAAATACAATAACTCATTCATAGCTTTAATATTGCTATTATACCAAATCATTTCATTTTCAATATCTGTTACTTTAAACATATCAATATATTTTAATTCAGCCCAAGAACAAAACATGTCAACATAAAAGTTAGGCAACTGTTTTTTTCTACAAATACGATACATATCGCTCTTTTTGCAATTAAAATGCAAACAAAGTGGCAAATCCCCAATTTTCTTGATCCAATATTTAAACAAAATTTTCCAAGCACTTTGTTCATCTCTTAAATATTTATGAATCCATGAAAGACGGAGTGACCGGCATTTTGACTCTAAGTCGATCATTCCCAACCCCCCTTCTACTTCAGGATTGTGACAGATGTTTCGTTTCACCTTTTCTGTTTTTGAATTCCATAAAAATGTGTAAGCCAGTTTATTTATACGTTTAATTATTTTAGAAGGGATCGGAACTGCCGTGGCAGTACGTACTATCTGAGACATAACTAAATGTTTAATCACAACAACTTTTCCGTACAATGTAAGTTTTCTCATTTTCCATAAATCCAAGGTATTCTTTATTTTCTCTACTTTACTTTCCCAGTTTAAATTTTGAACGTCAAAAGAATTTTTACCTACATAAATACCAAGACATTTTATAGGGTCTTCAGTGAAATGTAAATCTTCAACTTCATCGTCATTTATATTAAGTTTCATAAGATTTGATTTGGTCCAGTTAATTTTTGGTCCCGCATGCGCTCCAAACAGTTCTACTTCTTTCATTATTTCTTTAACAAATTTTACAGATCTAGTAATAATCGTCGTATCGTCTGCATATTGAACGATACGTATATCTTTAAAATCAGCTTGATCTTCATTGAAGTCTGGGACTTGGATTCCCTCTATTTTGGCGTTTTGTTTAATTCTTTTCCCTAAAACCTCTGCAATTATTATAAATAAAAGTGGAGAAAGTGGGCAACCTTGCCTAACGCCTCTTTCTATTGCAAATTTGTCGGATATCCAACCAAAATTTAAGACACGACCATGAGCACCATTATATAACGTTTCAATCCATCTTAAAAACGAATCTTTAAATTTAAGTTCCCGTAACAAGGACAATAAAAAAACATGACCAATGGTATCGAACGCCTTTTTAAAATCCAAGAACATCATAACAACTGGTTTGTTTGCAAAAAGACAATAATCAATAGTATCCTGAATTAGTCTGGTACATTCAGATGCAGAGCGGTTTTTTAAAAAACCAGCCTGATCCTGTGATACAAGTTTATATATAACTTTCTGTAATCGTATTGAAAGAATGCGAGCTGCAAGTTTATAATCAATGTTTAACAGCGAAATAGGTCGCCAATTATCTAAAACATTTTTGTTACCTTTCTTATATAATAGAGTAAGGATAGCTTGACTTTGTGTGCACGACAATTGTTGTTTGTCGTAACCCTCATTCAGACTGTCAATTACCATATGTTTGATATCCCCCCAAAAGCATTTATAAAATTCAACACTGAGTCCATCGCTTCCAGGTGATTTGTTCATCTTCATTGACTTCAGTGCTTCCCAGCATTCATTCTCTGTGATTTTTCCCTCACATAAATTTGCATCTTCTTCATTCAAAACATTTAAGTTGATATCAGATACGTATTCTTTAAATCCAGCCTCGGTATTATTTCCATAGAGTTTACAATAAAATTCTCGTATACCTGTCAAAATTTTCTGTTCATCTTTGATAATTTTTCCGTTACTTTCAAGACAATCTATTTCTTTTTTTTTTTCCTTTAGCTTTTTCAAGCTGAAGAAAATATCTTGTTGACTTTTCACCAAATTCAAGCCACCTTGCCCGAGATCTCACAAATGCACCTT